GCACAATTTATGCATAGTCTCATATCAGCAATTTTATCTTCTTGACATACAAAACAATACCAGGACACATTAGACGGTCTTTCTTTCAAGCCTTTACCCTTCCCTTTTCCCTTCCCTTTTCCTTTTCCTTCTTTATCCATATTCTTGTCTTGGCTTTTGCTTTCAACTGTCACTTTCTGCTTCTTAGCAACTTTATCAAAAATATCTTTAGTTAATACTTGTGCTAGACTGTTAATAGCTTTTTTTCTAGTTACAATTGGATTTGAAATTTTCTGTGGAGTTTTGAACATCATTTTGAATGATACGTTAGCGCCTGATGAAGTTGATGGCATTGGTAATAGAGACTCCACAGTCTTGTTGTTACAATCTTGAGTTGAAGATTTGGTAATCAAAGGATCTGAATCCTCAATTTCCATATACTCCTTAACCGGAGTTGAATATTTAGCAGCTACCAAAGCTGAGTCTTCTAAAGCCATATCCTTAACTGGGGTTGAAGTAGCAGCTAATAGAGCCGAAGCTTCTATAGCCATATCAGAAACCTTGACTGGGGTTAAATCTTTATCAAACATTGGAGGTGATGCCTCAATAGCCACATTTGAATCCTTAGTTGGAGCCTCAAATAAAACGTTATCTACCAAAGATGGACTTGCAGTCTGAATGTTTCTGTCCTTAGATGATAACAAGAGTTGGTCTAAGACAGTTACAATCTCAGAAGAAGATAATTTGGTATCTGTAGTATTTTTATTTGAAGTATCAGATTCTCGAAATCTTGCGGAATCATGAACAGTCTCATCTTCGCGAGACATCTCGGATCGACCTAGGATAAAATTTTTAGTAGCCGTACACTTCCTCATTGGGAATGAAGGGCTTTGTGTATTGTCTTCAGATCCAGATGAGCAAGACGTTGTAGAATCTCTTTTTGTTGAAGAAACAAACGCCGACAGTGGTACATCATCTTCACTGTCGCTGGAAGCATTAGTAGTTGGATCAACAGAGTCTCCCGGAATCGATACATGAGTAGGAATACTTGGCGCGTAAGCTTCTTCAGGAATCTTTGTTGGGTCGAACGGAAAAATTCCAGTAGCCTCGAAACCAGCTTTTATGTTAGCGGGAGTCAAAGCTTTGTCCCAAACTTTTGAAAATATGGGACCGAACCTTTGTTTTGTGATCCTTCTATCTTCGTGATGCGCCCAATACTTCAACACTTCCTCATCCCAGAAATACTCAAATGAGCGAAACACTGACTTGTCCATTGGTTGGAGCTCGTGTGTCGTGTTGCTGGGCAGACAAAAAAGCTTTATATCAAATTTATCAGCAGCTTCTACGATGGAGTAATCCAAATGACATTTTGCTCCATCAAACACCACGAGACATGGCCCAGGAAGTTTGTACTTAGCTAGATGGTGTATCCATTCAACAAAAGTATCAATATTCATGCTTCCTTTAGGAGTCATTTGCACATTTGTTCCATTTGGTAATGAGTCTTTCCACTCTGGCTTCAGCCGCTTTTCTTTAAATAGGATCATGGGCGGTATAGCTTGACCCAAAGCATTGCCACACGACACTACTGTTACATTCTCTGCATGTTCATGTGCTACTATATGCACTCTCTTTGTACCTTTTTGAGCCAAAACTTGAGGAGATTTATGAAGATTTAACTGACACCCCTTCTCATCAATATTAAAGATTCGTTCAGGGCTATTCAGTAAATTATTGTCTTCTAAGACTTTACGGAGTTTTTCAAAATAATCAGCCACAACTATTTTGTTGAGCTTTTGAGCTCTTGCTGGGTTAAGGTTTTGTGCTTTTCTTCGACTTACGCCTTTATGACGTTTAAGATAACCTCTCAGCCAATCACGGCCAATCATAGCATTGTTGCTCGATAGGGGTATATTGTTCATTTCGCAGTAGGTCTTAACACTAGTCCTTAATACACATGGAGTTATGGGATACCCAACATTGGACAAGCGCACGATCCGAGCCTCGAGGTCATTTTCTTGTTCTTCACTGAGTAATGGTTTTCTTCCTAAGGATGCCTTTTTTATCTTATTATCAGTGAGATATCTCTTGAGCGTACGTCTGGGTATATTAAAATGTTTTGAGGCAGCATAAACTTTCATCACGCCGCGTTTTACCGCCGTTAACGCCTTTATCATGTTGTCTTCAGTCCATCTGCCTCGTATACCTCGGCATTTGTAACGCCCCATCTCCTGAAAACACAAAAACAAGTTAAAAAAAACATATATTTATGTACGGGAAATATGGTCACAATGTGGCCATATTTACCTGCAACACATTTTTTCATAACCTATAAATAACATAAAAAAATATTCAAATAGTTCCAAGTTACACTTACCCATCAATAGAATACTAATCAAATCTTGCAACACGATATAGATGTACTAGTGAATCGTTCTATTTATAACGATTTTGAGCAACTATCGAAATAATTTTTTAGTAACATTCACGCGACCATCTAGCACAGTACGTTTCAGCCAACTGAACGGCGCGCGAGACGCGTGGCTGGCGTGCCATTCAAGGTCATGCATCGGTGGGTGCACGGAGTGAAGTTGTCGACTTTCGCGCGTTGTTAGTTTTTGAAATAACACCTACCGGGCATATTTACCGACTGCGCATATTCGACCCAGGTACCTTAGTTATAAGAGTACAAAATTAGAGACCGTTGACTCTGCTACTTTGTTAGGAGTGGATTTGGATACGTGTTTGAATCGGAAAACACATATTAAAAAGACAGTAAATAAAATGTCGTCTTTTATATATGCACTACATCATCTTAAACGTGTAACGGATTTTAAAACTGCCCTTACAGCTTACTACGCATATGCATATTCAATTCTATCCTACGGAATTGTTCTGTGGGGAAACTCATGTCATGTAGATCAAATATTTATACTATAGAAGAAGTGTATCAGAATAATGTCTAATATCGATCAAATGGAATCATGTCGTCCTCATTTTATTAAACACAAAATACTGACTCTTGTATCAATATATATTCTTGAAACATGTAAGTTCGTAAGGAAACACCCAGAATTTTATACACCTATAACAAGTGTTAGGAGAGGCGATAGATATTTAAACAAACTAGAAATGCACTTCTCAAAATTAGAAATAGTCTCGTCAGGCCCGCATGCTATGTCAATAAAAATCTATAATCATATACCAAATTATATTAAAAATCTGGAAACAGAAATGTCATTTAATAATCAATTAAAATTATTCTTACTAAATAAAGCATATTACAATATAGATGAATTTTTTAATGAAAAATTGACATAAATATTATACTATTATTAATAAATTAAAAATTGTTATTGATGAACATTGTAATATTTGAAATGCCTAATTTATATTTAATTTAATTATTGTTAATATATATTGTTATAAGTTTCTTGACATGTAATTTCTAATATTATTTAATTTTGGGTATTTGTATTTTATTTTATTGTATTGTATTGTAACATTGCCATGCCCTTACAGGGCGTCACATGTACACGAGCAACAAAATAATTACTATGTTATAATTTTAATGTGACATGCAATAAATGATTTGATTTGATTTGTATTGAAATTGCTTTGGCGTTAATCTGTGTATTTTGTATAACATAAAATAACAATACCACAGACCACAGGTACTTTGGTTGTTACTTTGACCAAATGACGTCATCTAGCAATATGGCGGGTTTAATCGACTGCAGCGCCATAACTATTGAAATCGGAACTTAAGCTGACACCCCTCCTGGTTTGTTAAATTGCCTTACTTATTTTGAATACGTGAATTTTAGAATGGAAACGAAAACGCAAATACATTCCTGAAACAAAAAACTATGTCAATGACGAGACTCAATGTGAAAATGAAGAAGAAACTCTGAATTATATTTTTGAACAACATTCACAATCATACTTAGATGATGGAACTTTCAAGACTCAAAAGAAATTTAAGGACAGTGCTTCATGCACAGAAATTCTTGAAAAAAAAAATTGATGCATGGATGCAAACATTTCGGCTAGTTCGTATCTAATGAACTATTAAGATTTGATGCTGATCAAAGATATGTATTAATGCAAAAATTCTCGAGGTGCTGAAAAACAGTGATAAGAAGTTGAAATAGGAAATAAAACTAAGTTTACGTTAACAAAATTTTTATTGAGACTGATTAGATAAATTATAATTTAAAATCTTTTGTTGATAATTTTTTACATACATACAGTTGCAAAAAAAAAATGAGTACAGACGGCAACAGATCAACCTATCCATTTCTGTCAAGAATATGAATATCAATGAATATTGAACACTACGTAACAGAAATAAAGCTAAAAATCGCTTATAGAAATTTAACAGATTTGGGTAGGTTTACGTTTCTTTTATGTACAGTAAGCCACACATCGAGTTATACAAATCTGTCAAATTTTTGCTCTTTTTTTAATGTGATATTTATCTCTGTAGGTGCTAGACTAAGTTTATTTGAAATCTTGGCTTAGTCCTTTGTGTATCACAACACGACATATTTTGCCATAACTAAGTAAAAAATCAATATAGTAAGAATGAACGTTAAATGGCACATCAAAATCAGTGATAAAAAAAGAACTCGTTGTTGTCGTTCACACGTATTTATTTAATTTAGAAATCAGAACTAATTCCAAAATGTTAATTGTTTTGTTCTAAATATTTAATTGTGTTACAATCAATTAAAAAAGACGCCTTTATAGCATGCGCCACATTTATTTATTAGAAACTCAAATGAGCGTAAATAACAGATATCCTAACCTGAAAATATTACATGCGTTTGCTGGTCTTTATTTAAAATATATTATAGATAATGTATAATTGTTGTGAATACTTAAAAAGAAAGCCATAAATAACCTACAAAAGTGCGATGATGGAGTTTGCCATTTTTTATTGTGACAATTTGTTCTTGATTCGGGAGTTACCAGTTTTGTGTTTTTAGGTAAATTAATTTTGAAAAATAAAATATTTAATGAGATTATTATTACTAATATTGCAGACAAAGAAAATGTCGAGGGCGAAAAAAATGGTCGAAGCTGCTTGCAAACGAAGTCGTCAAAATGACATAATCTTTTTCACAAAGGAATCAATTGATAATATGTCTGTTATACTGGCTGCTGATTCGTCAACATCTGAAGCTATCCCAGAAGTAATTATGCGAATTGACCCATTAGCTGATGATGCGGCAATATCAAATGCTGTTACAGAAGTGATCATGAAAATTCCTCCACTAGCTGATGGAGCGGCAATATTTGATGCTGTTACAGAAGTGATCATGGAAATTCAGTCACTAGCTGATGTGGCTTTAACATCATGCTCTCGTGCTCTTACAGAGGAATCACGGAAATGGAACCAATAGCCGATGGTTCATCTTTGAATACCGGTCTGTTAACAGTGGCTACTGAAGCATCCCTGGAATCATCCGGACCAGCTACATATTCATAGATTACACCGCGTCATGATAACAATGCTGCCTTGATTGATAACTATATAACTGATGATAGTGACTATAATAATGAAAAACTTATACCCTATTCTGATAACTCGGATTCTAACAGTGAAGAACAACCAAGGGGAGTTAAGAGAAGAAAAAGGTGTCAGGTTAACAAAGCTACCTGGAATGAATACAAAGACAAACTTAATCGGGAACAGGGGAGGCAGTATACTGGGCGAAAAAAGTTGACGGGAAACGGGAAAAAACACTAAAGAATAAGAGAGTGCTTAAACCTCGATGCAAATGTAAGACAAATGACAAAACTGCCTTAAAATGCTGTGAAATTAAAGAAGATGATAGAAAAGCAATATATGAAATGGTCTTGTACAAGAAATGCCTACAAAATAGAGATGTTAAAAGTTGAGTCTTTTGAGTCCTAATTCTGAGACTCGGCTCAATTTTACACGACTCAGTTAACTAACTAAACTCCGAGTCTTGAGTCGAACCGAGCTTCAGTCTTTTGAGCGCTAAAATAGAACTCGAGTCTTAAAAAGAGCTCGAGTTTAAAAGGAGCTCGACTCTTAAAAAGCTTGAGTCTCAAAAGAGTGCGAGTCTTATGTCTTGAGCGTATTAAGGTTTAATAATGTTAATAGTTGCAAATTATTCTGGCCTATACTATTACCTACTTATATGTGCGTCGTCAGATCAATTGTCATTGCTCGTGATTTTATTTGACTTATGTATTTTCTTCTGCGGCTTACCTATTATTGGAATAATAATAATAGAAACAATAAATAATAATATACACTTGACTTAGGCCCGTGTATATTATAAAATAATACATCTCTCAGTATGTAATGCTTTATTTTCTTATTTCCTTATTCTACAATAAAGGTTTAGATATCTATTAAATAGACGGTATACTGAGAATAGTTTCATAATTTTCAAAGACTCATTCTGGTGCATACCTATTCAGAATCAGAAAAACTAGGCAAACTAACATCCCTTAAGCAATCTTCCTCTCGTACTTTCCGTATAAATGTTAATAAATGTAAATCTTGGAGTAAATCATAGTACGTTTTGTTTCGGGTACTCGATCCATCTCAAATGCTATCAGTTTAGCAAATTCTTGATTCCTTGGGTCACATGATTGTTCTGAACCAAAATCAATATCTTTTAGTAAGCCTGTACGGGCTCGTACATCAGACGAGTCCCAGCGATTTTTTTGATAGATATTGGAGTCTACGATATCTTCAGATGTTACCTGCGTTTGTTTATCGGCTTTTACTGAAGTTTTTAATTCAGATAATCCTGTCAAAATACTAGGAGAAGTAGATCTTTTACCATCACTGTCCATATTGGTACGCACCACCTTTGAAACGAACTAAATAAATCTCGCAGAATAAAATGTTGTCACTTATAATAAAATAACTATAACACGAGGATTTGTGGATTTAAGTTTCCTTGTATTATAATAATACTCATAGTTATACGATGCAATGCAATCACTATAGTTTAATTCAACAAACTCGAATTCTTTTTTTTACATGAAGGTACAATGGTTTAACATTTTGTTATAATACCCTTAATACTTATTATTTTTTTGACATTTATTACTGTTAATGTGGGTATCAGTACATAATGGATTTGTTTGTTAGACAACCTCACATTACGATCAGTTAGTGTAGTAGATTATATTATTTATACCATGTTGTTTATGATTGTAGTTTTCCTGTGTAAAACAACTGTGTCAACTAATTATTATGGAGTCAGTGGAAGAAGACGCCATTACTTCATTTCGTTCGATTACCAGTACTGATTCGCCGACTGCAATTATGGTGGATTCGGATTCGAACCGTAAACTGGCAAAAAGTATTAAGAGTACAAATTATAATAAGACGTCATTGTATTATGAATGCAAAAAATGTAAGAAACATTTTTCACTTAAAACATCGCACATGATTTTAAAAAGACACGATGTTAATTACGATACATCACTCAATGAAGAAACAAATAATAAACAAAACAGAACAAGAAAGTACTCTGTATATGATAAGTTGATTGTAAATTTTGTAGTACGCGGTGCTCACTCTCATAATATTGTGGAAGAAGAACACTCATATCATTAAAATGATAAAAGGATTAAACTGTAATTACCCGGGACTAACTCGCCAGAGATTGACTATGAATATACAAACACTTTTTACGAAGACAAAAACACAAATAATATAATGCATAAAGTCTATAAATAAATTGGCTGTAACATTTGATTTTTGGACATGAGTAACGAACACACCGTACATTGTTATTACAGCCCATTTTGTTCACGAATCAAAAATGAATGCTATTATATTGGATTTCGATCTTATACCCGTTCCGCATACAACTAGTGAAATATTACTAAAAATTACGGAAATTTTTGACTGTTATTGATTGCAGAATAAAGTTATGTCTATATCAACAGATAACGAGACCACCAATATAAAGATTATGCAGTTGTTGCAACTATTTCAAAGCGATTATGAAAACGTTTTACACACCAGATGCTTAGCGCACATATTGAATCTTAGTGTAAAAAAAGGACTAGAAAAATTAAATAATCTCGTGTCAGATTAGTTATTCATTTATGGTTAGACTCGTGTCAGACCGGATTAGCAAGCTGAAGTGGCAGTGGGCTGGCCATATTAGCCGCAGAACCGATAACCGTTGGGGTAAACGAGTTCTTGAGTGGAGACCGCGTCTCGGCAAACGTAGTGTAGGACGTCCTCAGGCGCGGTGGATGGAGCGATGATTTGCGCAAGATGGCTGGCAGGAGCTGGATGCGAATAGCCGAGGATCGAACTAGATGGCGTGCAATTGGGGAGGCCTATGTCAAGCAGTGGATGAATACGGGCTGATGATGTGTCAGATATATCGAAACTGGTAAATTTTATAGTTTTTTCACCAAAGAAAAAACATTTGTATTTTGATATTTGTGATTTGTTGAAAATATCACGATTAACACTACTTAAAGAAATGCACATACGATGGAACTCCACATTTTTAATGTTGGAACGCGTCTATAATATGCGAGTTGTATTAGATCATATGTGCAAACAATTTGAGAAATTCAAGAAGTATCTGATTGAGGATTGAGAGAAAGTAAAAAACTTGATTGATTTTTTAAAACTCTACTACGATGCAACTCTTTTACTTTCAAAATCAAAATACCCTAGTTTAGTATACGTGATACCTATTGTTGATGTGCTGTTGGATCAAATTTCACAGAATTATGATGACGAAATTTTTGTGAGTGCTTATGCACATGCTATGGCTGACAAATTAAATCAATACGTACCAGTCTTGCGCTCAAAATATGCAAAATTTGCAATTATTTTGGATCCGCGTCTAAAAAACCATTATTATTCTGAAAAACAGGAACATGAGCCGTTTGAAACGTTGACATCATTATATGAAACAAATTACTGTCAACCTTGTTACAGAAATGAACAATCAGAAACAGAAGACAGTTCAAGAAAAAGTATTTTTTCGACAATATATAAGAAATAAGAATATTTAACGGATGAACTCCAAGAATAAGTATGCCAGTAGAAACAGAAGACACCGATCTTATATTTTGGTGGACAAAACAAGCTAATAGATTACCACAGATTCAGAAATTAGCGTTTCATATACTTAGTATTCCAGCAATAAGTGTACCGAGCGAACAAGCATTCTCAAGATCCGGTTATTTCATCACAAAAAGAAGAAACAGACTTGGTAATAAAACCATACAAGCGTCGATGTGTCTTGCATCATGGCTAGACTTTTTTAATGAATCTTAATATTACTAATGTGTGTATTATCATTTTTTGAAATTAGAATAATTTTTCATGATGATTAAAATGACTTTTCCTATTAATTAACGCTTATATTTTTTCAAAGTACGCTTTTGATTACGAATATATCCCACAAAAGTAACATTTTATTACCTGATTTAAGAAGGAACTCCAAACGGAAAAGAACTCGAGCTCGACTCGCCTCGTAAAAACGACTCGAGCGCTTTAAAATACTCGAGTTCCATGTTGCGCTCAAGAGCTCATATAGACTTTAGTTCTCTAGTCTTGGGAGTCTTATTGTAACGAGTCGAGTCGTGCAATTTGTCAGTCGAGCTCAAAATTTAGGACTCAAAAGACTCGAGTTCTTAACATCTCTAACCTGAACAGTTTCAAGATATACTGCTTGCGTATAACAAAGCTACAATTCATCCATGTCTTTTGATAATTTATAGTTAAATTACTAGTCACTGATACAGTTCTCCTTATTTTTCAGGTCCAAGCAAATGGGTGATCAGCTTTTCCCCCTCAGACGATGAGTCAGTGCCGGAGACCGTGGTGAAAACTAGAGGTGAGAAAAAGAAGTGCAAGTCACCTGCATCCACCGAGTGCCAGGCATCGACCAGCAAAAGACAAAAGCCGTTTTCCAGACCCACAGCCAGCGATTTGTTTGGCAGCGATTCTGGCGACGAAGAGTTGGAGGCAACGGGTAAAAAATGTCATACATCACACGTAGGCTGGCCAACGGCTTTTCAAGACAAATGGTTGAAAACAAATCGAGCCACTATTGTGTGGAATTAAAAATATATAACTGCAATGATATCGAGCGAGTGCCACCGGTGAAAAGATGGCGGCACTCAATCATGACATTAAATAATAAACGCGAGACAGAGTCCGAGTCCTGGAAGCATTTAGATTCGTACATAAAGTGTCCGAAAAGAATTTAAAGACAATCCGCCTACATTCATAAATTCTTTCCAATAAAAATAATTATATTCACTTAGATACTTCCTCTATCTACAATGTTACATAAAATTGTTTACCACACTCAAATAGCCATAAGACATATTATATCATTGGATAGGACATAGCTTTGTAATATTTAAAATTGTATTCCATTATATAATCTTAAAAATAAATATTTAACCGTATTTGTTTTCTTTTCTTTTCAGTCGACTCTCCCATTAATTCAACTTCAAGTAATAATATTACTTGAGATAAAATTGAGATCCCTGAACATGAATACCGATATCATATGAGAACTAGTATTCATAAATCAAATCTATCTTCTCTAAATATATATAACTAAAAGGTGACTGACTGACATAGTGATCTATCAACGCACAGCCCAAACCACTGGACGGATAGGGCTGGAATTTGGCATGCAGGTAGAAGTTATGACGTAGGCATCCGCTAAGAAAGGATTTTCATCAATTCTACCCTCAAGGGGATAAAATAAGGGATGAAAGTTTGCATGAAACTTTGTCAATTTTAAACCGATCGGGCTGAGACTTTGCTTGCACAAAGCTATTATGACGTAGGCATTTTGATAAATTCCACCCCTAAGAGGATAAAATAGGGGATGACGATTTATGTCAGGTATTTTACACGATATAATGAATAAATATTCGTTAGAAATGGTGCTCAAAGTAACTTTATCTCGCGGATGAAGTCACTGGTAAAAGCTACTTTTATGTATATATGCATATTTATATGTGTATATTTATGTGTGTATGTATGTATGTTTATACAGGGTTATAGGAAAAGTAGACCTAGATCCTTAAGGAGATTGTAGTATACATCATTACAAACAAATTTGACGATGAAACACCCTATCCAAAACCTAACCGTTTTCAAGTTATAGGACTTTTATGGTTTTTTATAAAAAATGCCGGTTTTATGTCCTCAAAATTTATTTTTCTCATTTTCAACGCCTATTTATTTATTTATTTTGTTTATTTTATGAAGAAGACAAGTTATTTTATAATTATTATCCATAAAACCATATGTAACTGAACAATATGGGTCAGAGTAGAGGTTTGATTGTTAAAAAAATAAATTTACTAAACCAAAATATTTTTTTCTTTGTGTAACTGTTTAAAAAAATTAATATGGCATTTATTTTGCAGATGTATTTAAAAACATCTACGTTTCCTCAGCTATCCAACGAGGTATAATAATAGGAAAAAAAAACTTCAATGGACGGTACAGTCATATGTAAAGTGAAGCAGAAAGGGAAAAAAGGTGTTTCAGTGTTATATTTTCTACCTGCGCCTTTTATCTTTGGACGGAATAGCGGTGTGCGAGTGGGATATCTTGTGGGTGTGAGCGAGATAGAAGCCTTAGGTACCCAAGGGGAACGTGTTATTTGTAATACTAGTCAGTCTGTGTTCAACTCCCTCGGTAGATGCGATATTCCGTGCTCTGCATTTTTAATTCGACTTGGCTTGTATTTCCGGACTGTTCTTCTTTCGCTACGTGACTATAGGCTTGCTAACTGGACTCTGATTTGTGCTTGTGATACTGTTGAAGATGACAACCTACACCAACGAGGAATATGCAGACATGTTGCTCTGTTATGGATACTGCGAATGCGTATCCGCTCGAGTTCGTGATGAGTACATAAGACGCTATCGCGGTCGCCGCATACCAGATGTCAGTGTGTTTGACGGTGTTTATCGATGGCTTAGAGAGACTGGGTCTGTTTCAAGGCGACGAACTGATCTGGGCAGACCTCGTGTCAACGACGACGATGAAGAACAAGACAACGAGATAGTACGACGTTTTAGATCGGACCCGACCATTTCAACGAATATTGTTGCCCGAGAATTTGGGATCTTGCAGTGGAAAGTATGGTCTACTGTCCCTACTGCGGGCCTGTATCCATACCACTACACGCCAGTACAAGTTATCGAAGAAGGAGATCCATTGAGGAGGTTAGATTTTTGCAGATTTATGCTGAATGCCGATTTAGAAGACCCAAGATTTTTTAAACGAATGTTGTGGACAGATGAGTCTAAATTTGACAAAGACGGCATTACTAACTATCATAATGCCCATTATTGGGCCCCAAAATCCAGAAAAAATCCCAATAAGAAGCGGGTAAAGGGCTCACAAAGGCGCTTTAGTTTAAATGTGTGGATGGGAATAATATCCAACCATTTGATTGGACCTTACTTTCTCCCCGATAATTTAAACGGAGAAACTTATGAAGACTTTTTAAGGCAGGATTTACACTACCTACTTGATGATCTACCTCTTAATGTAACACGAGACATGTGACGGTTGCCCCGCACATTACCGAAGAAGCGTTAGGGAATGGCTGGATACAAATTATCCCAATAAGTGGATAGGAAGAGGTGGACCAATACCATGGCTGGCAAGAAGTCCGGACCTAACGCCTATGGATTTTTATGTGTGGGGCCAAGTCTCGTATATTCTGATCTTAATCCGATTACATCTATTGATGTGTTACGACAAAAAATAATTGATGTGGCAGATCAGATAAAAAGACAGTTAACTACTGGTGTAGTTAAGAGTGGACTACGAAGAAGACTAAGAATATGTGTGCGAAATAGAGGTGGCCACATTTTTTGAGCTCATAAAACCGGCATTTTTTATAAAAAATCATAAAAGTCCTATAACTTGAAGACGGTTAGGTTTTGGATAGGGTCTCAAATTTGTTTGTAATGATGTATACTACAATCTCCTTCAGGGTCTAGCTCCACTTTTCCTTTAACCCTGTATATGAAAACATGTTTTCTCGCCATGTAAGACACCATCTACTGCCCATCTACTTAAGTAATAGTCCAGTCTAAGCTGCGGTTGCCTGGAAGAATTTTTTTTAAAGCTTTTTAGCGATAAGACCGCCGATTGTACCACTTAATTGTATTGATTATCCTTTAATTATGGTGTACAATAAAATTATTCGTTCATTCATTCATAGTATAACCTCCTCTTTTTGGATTTTAAATTCTGTTCAAAAATAACAAATAGGTATTTTGTTTCCTAAAGAAATGGAGCCAAAAAAATGATGTATACACAAATTTAGAGGATTTTGCTTGAAGACTTTTGTACGTTTTCTGGCCAAGAAGAACCTTATTTGCGTGGTTCTCCTCCTCTCCCTCCTATTGCAATCGATGACCCAATAGGTATATTTGAAACGATATGGTATGAAAGGATTATAAAACTGATAGTGGAAGAGACGAATAGATGCGCATGGCAAATTATCGCTCCATTATCCGAAACAGAGGGTGGGATACCAGCGCATCTAAATGCATGGTATGACACCACTGTTGAGGAAATGTACATGTACTTTGCCGTGGTCATCTTAATGTCATTTTGCCAGAGAGGAAGAGTGCATGAATATTGGGACACGAGACCCCCAACGAGAATGCAAGATTGGGGAAGTATGATGTCGCGGAATAGCTTTCAACTTTTATCCCGATCCGTCCGTCGTACCCGAGTAACACCTCAGCTTACGACATGTCACTGCTTATGTGGAAGGGTCGTCTTAGCTGGGTGCAGTGCATCCGCAGTAAGGCGGCCCGGTTCGGCATTACGAGCTTTGAGCTCTGTGAAGCAGCGTCCGGCTTTATGATGAGGTGTTTGATATACGCCGGCAACGACACCTCCATCAACGAGGAACCCGCCCAGAGGTTCGTTAATGCTACCGCAAAGGTAGTCTAATGCAAAATAAGTTGGATACGTCGATGTTGGTCATACCTTCGTCATGGACAACTGGTACAACCAGTTGCCTTTGACAAGGTATTTGAAAAGAAAGGCCACGGACGTAATTGGGACATCAAATCTCCGACGAAAACATATACCAGACTGCTTCAAAACTATCAAAGATAATCCTCGGAAAAGGGGTGCCATCGTATCGGTGCACTGCGGAGAAATTCGTTGACGTCTTGGCAAGACTTAAAATTAGTAACGTCTGTATCCACCTGCTATGATGGTCCCTGCTCGTAGGGCAGGGAAAACATTTTGAAGCCGGCAACAGTCGCCGCATACAATCGACATATGGGCGGAGTGGACAGCAAAGACCAGAAATTATCTTATTACTTATTAGAGAGGACTCAGGGAACCAAGTGGTATATCAAAGTATTTAAAACAAAAATTCAAGTTTACTGAATGCCTTTATATTATTTTCAAAAAATGCAACCACTTCACGCACACTGACGCACCGGGAATATCGTCGCAATGAGGCCGTAGGCCTATAGCAAAAATATTCCCGCGCGCTGAAGTGGTACAACTATCACAACATCTTTGGAGAAGCGACTGCAACTCGGGGAACATGTTTCCGCTTACTATGAAAGCAAAAACTCCAGCCGGCAGTCGCATCTCCAAAATCGTTGTGTAAGGTGCTCGTTCAAAAAAACGAACCATGGTAACGACCTACTGCGAATTTTGTGAAGTTGCCTTGTGCCTGGGGTTGTGTTGGAGGGAACTTCACAATTAATTTAGAGAATATAAATCTGGCCCTTAAAATAGTAAGAATTTTGTTGTATATCAATGAAAAAGACAGAATGTGATAATATTCTACACTAGTTAACAGCGCATTATATCGATATCAACAAAGAATTTGAATCCATTTTCCATCTGTTAGAAAAATTAAGCGCATAGGATGAATGGGTAGTATAATAAAACAGATATTTGGAAATTGAGATGAAAATGATGGTTTAAAGTTTAACGAAGCGATAGAAGCTGTACAAGCAGACGAGAAAAAGAGTAGCGTCACTTATGAAAGGTAATATATTCCAAATGGAAGATATAACCGACGCTGTCGTTCTGAGTGGTCAGAACGTTATTCACCTATCTGTAATTTCATCATTGAAACTGCAAAATGAGTTGGCAGATAATTACAAATATCTTCCAAATAATTTACAATTAACTGTAACCTTACATAAAAATTGTGTTCATATGTCGGTAAATATCGAGAAATATAAACTTTTTCAAGCAACAGATTTACCTTTAACCCATAGAGTTAAGGATCTTAATAGTTTTAGTCTTATTATCCATAATGCAAAGTACATTATGTTAAGTAAAGATCAAATTCAGTCGATAAATATCGAGAAATATAAACTGTTTCAAGCAACAGATTTACCTTTATCCCATGGAGTTAAGGATCTTAGTAGTTTTAGTCTTATTATCCATAATGCTAAGTACGTTATGTTAAGTAAAGATAACACTAAATATATGAACTTACAGAATCTAAGCCAATGTAACCAATTTTATCTCAGTCATTTGCCTTTTAATTACTAATGGCTGCGAGCCGGGGGCGGACTAATGACATGCAAATAACGGACCAGTACTCGAAAAAGTCACCCAAACGAAGTATCTCAGAGTTATGGTGGACCAGAGACTAAGCTGGCACTCCCATATTAAAACAACAATAAACTGAGTTGGAAAATAGACGTGGATATTTAAGTTACTAAGACACGTCGTAACAAACGAGATAATAAATAAAATCTATGTAGCTCTAACACAATCGATCATAAGTTATTGCATCGTAGTGTGGGGGGGCGCTTACAAGACACAATTCCTCGATATCGAAAGAGCTCAGAGGTAAAAATCAAAATTTGAATGAAATCGTTAAACAATGGCGAAGTTGCGTGTCATTAACATAACGTATGTCTTTGAGGTCAAAATCAAAATTTGTTAAACAATGGCGAAGTTGCGTGTCATTCACATAACGTATGTCTTTGATTACTCACTGGGAAGTCTCGTATAAATTGTAATCGAATGATTCCAGTAATAAACTATTTTTGGATTTTGATTTGATTGTTTTATATCGGCTTTGATTAATATAAAATGTAAACACAGAATTAACACAGAGAATATAAGAATGTTAGTATTTTTTTTGGCAGAGAGAAATATTGTCCGGGCTACATTTCATTTACGTCATAACTAATATCTTTCTGCCAATAATTACAAAGTTTTTGGTAGTGTGAAAACTTTTACGGTGTAATAATTCAAATAATGGAATAAAGATAATACAAATGGTTAACATCACAAATATTACAATACTATAGCAGCCATACCACTAAAGTTCATTAAAGCCTACGATAAAGCACTCAAAAGTCATTGACGCAATTTATTTTTTGTTCTCAATTTTACAATGACTACAAATGTAGAATAAAAAGTAAAACGAGAAAAATTGCTCAAAGTCAACGTCAGACTGGCGGTGGTCCGGCAGATGTTCCACCACTAAGTTCTTTAGAAGAAACGCTATGTGCTATAATAGGACCTGATAAATTTGAGGCCTTACCTGTACAGAATAACCCACTAGCAGACATTGTAATTTAGGTACAGCACAGTAGACTGTGAGGTCATCAGCAAATGGGAGATTACATATATGGTAACATTAATTAGACGACCTGTAAGTAACGAAGAAATAGTACCTTCTTTTCCAGTGCCTGCACCATCCTCTAGTGTACCTGCTAATTTGCCAACTTATGCTGAATGTCTGGCACAGGAGAGAAAATGAACTACACATTTTGACAATTTCAAATTTGACAAGAAAATAGAACCCACAAAATCATATAACCATCAAAGTTTATTGAATATTTCAGTAACTCGTTCCCTGATGAGATTTTACAAATGATCATTGAATAAACAAATAAATATGAGAGTGTGAAAAAAATCTAAATTTTGGAAATACAAAGCTATCAATGAAATTAAAGCATTTCTAGCTATAGTTGTTCTAATAGGAATAAATCCTCAGTCGGATATAGAGCTATATTAGAGCGCAGGTCCTTTTTATTATAACATTGAGATTAGTGGTACAATAAATATCAAAAGAGATTTTAAAAAATCTAGAGAATCTACAAGTGTGCGACAATACAACACACTTACCCAGGAATCATAAAGAAACATTAGAAAAAGTGAGACCTCTGTTACAATGTCTCGACGGGACTTTTCAAGACATTGTCATCAACTCAATGGCAACTCGCAAACCCAATCGGTGGACGAAAGCATGATCAAATTTAAAGGGCGTGACAGTAATAAACAATACATGCAGGCCAAACCCATCAAAAGGGAATTTAAGGCAAGGCGCGCGCCGGTGCGATTCCAAGACTGAATATATCTATCAGTTCGATATTTATACATGCAAAGACGAAGTAGTTAATGAGGAAGGATTAAGTTACAGATTTGTAATGAAACTTGCTGAGAATTTACTACGAAACACACATTTGATTTTTGAAAATTTTCTCTTTTTTTTATGAGATAGGGGGCAGACGAGCAGACGGATCACCTGATAGTAAGTGATTACCGTC